ATTTAGGAGAAATAGGACTTTTTTTTTTTTTTTTTTTTTTTTTTTTTTTTGGTTGAACAGAAAACATGAACCCCACCTTTAGTTTCGTCATAAAAAAGAAAAAAAAAAGGTATTACAAATATTGCACAAAAAATACACCAATACATCTCCACAGAGTTTGACCCGGTTTTCACCGTCTTGTGACGAATTTTTACCAATCTACATTACATCTCCAACTAGCCCCATCTAATGCTAGCTATAACCCTAACTATATACGGACCCTTAACTACACAACGACTGAAAGACAAGATGAGACCCCGCCTGTACTGTAGCTGGAACATTGAATCTCATTTTCCCAACTTGCAACAATGTTCCGATCCGACTTGAGTACCGACGTTACAAGTACATGTCCTTGTGCGTACTGCACTGTACTCACCATGCAAGACGTATAACTCTTCTCCGCATCCGGACCCCCAGATTGTGCTTGAGATGATTGCTTCGAAAACAATCATGTCACCGTCGTATTTTGCGGGCCGCAATATCGACTCACAATGCGTCTCCGACGGCTTGGCTCTCTGCTTAAGGCGCCATATCGTCGACTGTGCCCAGTTCGTGTATGTAGCCAGCAACACACGTGGATCGTAGTCCAGGCACAGTCCGACTTAGTAGCCAGTGTTACAAGAACAGTGTAGTATGGCACTAACCGCCATCTCGCGAGCCGCGAGCTATGTGAAGAAACCATAGAGCCTCCGTGGATAGCCGCATCGTGAGAGAGATTCGGAACTAGCGGCTGGGACCCTAGCAGAAGGATAAGACGCTGGCACACAAGGAATGATGGGTTTGTGTTTCTTTGTGTCGGCGTTGTGGTTGAGGGAATTGCAGATGAGGGGATAATTGTGATTTACGGGACTCTGGATTTTTTACTTGTTTAGTTGAGTCAAGTTAAGTAGTTCTGTTCTCTACGTGCCGTTCTGAAATATACTGACAGTATTGTATTTACTTGAAATGTTGATTTGCTAACCAAACAAAATGGTGCATTCCTGTCAACTGCACTTTGTTACTCTACTTGGCATTCAGAAAGGACAGGCAGAACATCAGAAAAAATAATAATTTGAGGACCAGACAAGACTGTCAACACAAACAAACCCAGGTGTATCTAACAATTAACCAAACGACACCTTCTGCTCAAGTCCAGCTGGCCAGTTTCTCGATCTAGTCCGTTTCTCCAACAACAAGACCACTGTGTTTGTCAGTGGAGGACGTTCTCCAACAGCAACACCACTATAACATCAGTGGACGTTTCCTCCAGTCGCCATCCGTTCTGGCGGCCCGCAAGAGCCTACAACTTATCACAACTAGTATCGATACTCAGCGACTTAGTGTGGCAACCATACGGGCCGTGAACTACCCGCCCGGGAGGTTCACCAACTAGGAACGGATAAGATACGGGTATGACAAAACCGGCTGGCTAGCGTCGTGGCGAAAAGAGCCGTTCGCAAGTGAGTTGGGCTTGACGTGGACTATGACGGCACATGACATGAGCCAAGCCGGGGTAAGTTCGTTCATGAAATGCTGTCAAGTTGGGTCAATTAGGGTCAATTTGGGTAACATCCGAATTGGATCAATTGGGAAAGAAAGACGGTGGTGTTGGATTACCCACCCAACAGCAACTGGGGTCACCGTTGGAGTGTCTGTGTTCCACGGATATACGCACAGCTAAGGTTGGGCAGTTGTAAACATGTGTGCGAATGGGATCCTGTTGTCTGGTTGGGGTCAAAAAACAACAGCAGCCACGACGAAGTTCGAGCTACCCGGGTTTATTCTGCCATCTTCTTTCCAGATAACTAACCGGGTGAAGAACGAGCTCATGTGAGAATGGGGGTGGGGCGATGAAGGGCGACTGGACAAATTCTGGCCGTGCTATGACCGAGGTTTCCCTTCCTTTTCTTGTTCCCTTCTTTTTTCCCTTCTTTGCAAACTACAACTCCAAGTTTGACAGTCTCAGAAAAGAGAAACGACTTCTGTTAGTCCAACTTAAACCATGCTCTGTGATGATACTGATTAGATACTGAGCTGGCGTGGCCCACAAAGAAAATGTCAACATTTTCGGAAAAACAAAAACAAAAAAAACATCAGAAAAAAAGGACAAAAAAAGACACCAACAAAAAACAAAAAAACCGAATGAACTGCAAGACACACACTAAAAGAACTGACCAGGGTATACGAGACCAATGACAGAAACGGCCAAGAGGAGGCACGTGGTCCTCCCCATCCTTTCTGAAGCTGAGCTGTGCGTCAGGTGTAGCTTATCTATCGATTTACTGGGCCTGGGGAGACGGTTTAAGTGGACGCAAAAACCGTGTGAATGGGTGAAATCGCACATTTTTCTGCTATCCGCGGACTGGCTTCTTGAGGCGGATGGATGACCGGTTGCTCGGAGTCCCTTGTTCCATGACCGGTTTGACATTTTCCACGGTCAAACGCCATCTGAAGATTTTGTCGCAATCCCCGGCTTGACAAAAGTTAATCGATGTTGGGACACTCAAAAGGTGACAGGGGGGAGAGACGGTAGGGTGCGTTGTTTGAGGGCTTCGACGAGGTGTCAGCAGCCGCTTCGAAGGGTTCCATCTTCTGGCAGGTGCATCTCCTTGTTGTGGTGCAGTATCGGACGTTCGTGGGGCGGTGTCTGTCACCCGTATTGTGCAGAAAAAACGCCACATACAGCCTTGCACTGATCTAAAACAGTAAGTACGAGACGGTACACATTCTCTGCATCTCTGCATCTCCCCACTTTCCCCTCGCCTTGATCGCACGCAACCTACTGCCGTTTCTACCTCAGATTTCTGGTCGACACAGCTTCATGTCAATAGTTGCACGGGGCCCTGCTGACATGGGAGCTGTGCCGTTAAGGAAGTCTCGGCGGATTTCTAGTTCACTGTCTGTGCATAGACCTACTTAAGACCTCTAAATCAGACTGACTCAGGGTCCTGCGATCTTCCTCTATGTCGTCCATTTTTGTCCACACACAATGGGAATTGTTAATGGACAGTTCAGACATAATGGACATATCAGACATTACCGTTGGAGGGATCGGCGGTTTGATTTTATATCCCGCGTATCTCCCTATTTCTGGAGTATGGTGTTGTCATCCCATGATGACCTTTCCTAGACCATGGTGTCTCATCTCCTCCCTACTCGTACCACTCCCATTCTTACTAAGCGAGTAGTATCCCATTCTAACTTTTTCCAAACCCCACCACGAGATGCCCACATCGGGATCAGCGGGAGGGGGGTAGGGATGACACCAGGGCGCTGATTGTACAGCACAATAGTTGGTGGAGGGGGACTATTGGGTTCGGGAATATGTGCCAAAAAAAAACGGGTCGGTTTGTGCAGGTCGGAGGTTGTCACTGGAGCCAGGGAGACTCTTTGTTTTGTGTTTTTTTTGTCAGTATTTTTCCGTGGACCCTGCTTTTTCGGCGCTCGGTCTCTTTGCAATCGCCGGAACTAAGTGATACCAACATGAAACGGCACAAGAAGCAGGGTAATTGAGAAGGAAAAAAAGCGAGTCCGGAAAATGTGAGGAAAAAACGAGGGAAAACGAGGGAACAAAAACGACAGGCAGCAAAAGAGTACAGCAAAAGAGTACAGCAAAAGAGTACAGCAACAAAGAGTACAAGTGTAGAAGTTCAATCACGTGACGGTAATCTAGAGAGGGTTTACGACTGGCCCGACGAATATCATTTTGAAGAGGCGATTGAAGCGATTCTAACGGTGGTGAAAAAAACCGGAGTAAAAATCAACTGTCAGGACATGCACCGGGCTGACAGAAGAAACGTGATAACGGAAGAAACGCGATGACGGAAGAAACGCGATGACGGAAGAAAAACACCATTGACGGAAGAAAAGCACCGTTGATGGAACATCAACAGACTGACGGAACATCGACAGACTGGAACATTACCAGACAGAGATCTGTACTCAACAATATATACAAGCACACTACAACACCCCAACTCGTTCCACCTCCATTTCTTACCCTCATCATCCCTCTCACCACGTGTCTCCACTCAACTCAACCCAACTTCACCAACTCCGTAGTCAATCCCCTATCACCATCTCTCTCATACATACGACGGCAGTGGTACAACTTTACCAGTGGAAATGGCCGTGTGAGTCGTCTAATTCTTCCCAATGGAGTAAGATGGACCTACACTGAAAGACTGAAAGAGGTTTGCTTTTTCTTGCCTTGCGTTTCCCTGTTTGTCGAACTTAGATACGGCAAGTCGGGGAGAGGGCTTTGGGAGCCGATTGCCACCGATTGGATCCGACTGGCTCTTGCCGCAGAGTCTGTGGCGACTCTATTGTTACAATGGTGGCTTGTGGGGCTTGTGGAATCTTCAAAATCGATCTCAAAACATGTCCTCGACTCGTGTTGCTGCTCTCCTACTCGGGGTCTATGTGTCATGGACCACCGCCACTCGGGATGGTGGGCTGGATTGCAACAAGTGTGAACTCGTTCCATGCAGATTAGACGACAAATAGGGTTGGGTAATGATTTGTTCTATTTCATTTCTCCATTTTTGTGTTTTTATTTTGTGTTTTTTGCGAAAGCCGATTTCGCTCGCTTTTCCGCTTTCATTTTTCGATTTTCCCACTTTTCACTTTTTTGCAATTTTTCAACTTTTCTCTTAGCCTTTAAAAACCCTGATTTTTACGCTCAAAGTTTGACAAACCCAATTATCTTTAAGCATTCGTCAAATAGACTTTGACAAACTAGGTTTTGGATGCAGCGATTCTGCAGAACCGGGCCGTGTACCCTGAGTAGTAATTCTCCACCAGAGAACAAGATTGCAAGCAAAATAAAATTTGAAGTAAACCAGTGCATTCTCCACACCTTGACAAACATAATGATATACTTTATTTCTCCACAGCGGTATTTCTGACGCCCCCACACCCCCCCACTGCTCCCACACTTTCCATATATATATATCTCCAACCACATCCTCCTGTTGACCACAATGGACTACCACAATCCCCACTCTGACCTTTTCCAAATGGCGACCGAGCCCTGGTGCGACGACTACGTGGCCCAATACGGCAACTCCATCCAGTACCCGGTCACCAACTCGTTTGCCTACAACCTGCCCTACGATGACCTGACCCAGCACCACAACCACAACCAGCACCAGCAGCAACTCGTTAGTCAGCCCCAGAGTCACGTGAACATGCTGTCGCACTTTGGCCAGCAGCCCCAGCAGCCCCAGCAGCAGCAACAGCAGCAGCATCACCACTCGCACGGCCATGTGACACCCCAGACCCACCACAACTACTCCATTGACCAGCCCTCGCCGTTGCAACAACATCATCAAAATCTTCGTCTTCCACGTCGTCCGCGTCGTCGTCATCGTCTCACGTGACCAACAGTCATCATCACATGACCACCCCTCATTCTCAAAATCAGACCGTGGCGGCCATCCAGCCTCCGGCGTCTAACTATCAGCTGTATTCGTCGGTGCAAGTCCCGTATGAAGACGTCTATCTGGACACTTCCTCTTCGGCAGCGGCCTCGGATTATCTGCTGACTCAGCCCTACATGGAGGCGGTTACGTCGGCCACAACGTCGCCCTCCGATTACGACACCCCTCACAATGCATCTTCTTCGGCGTCGTCTTCGGTTTCGGTGGCTTCCCGCAAGCAGCCCGAGTCTCGCATGTCGCAACCCGAGCTTTTTTCACGCATGGGTCTTTCTCACGACCCCGAGGAGGCTCGAAACCGCGAGAACAGGGTCCTATCTCTACTCAAGTCGCGTGGGTTCAAGCTCGGAGAACAGACTTGGATCAGAGACACTACGCCGGCAGTTCGACAGGAAATCGTCGACTTTATCCATGCCTCAACTGTCCAGGAATACGGCTACTCCAAATATATGATTGAGGTGGTCATTCGACGGGCATGTTATCATTTGATGCAGGGTCGATTGAGACGAATTAGAAGGGCTCGAAAGTCCAAGGGAAATTGACGTGGAGGATAAAGGGGATGGCGCAAGGACACGGATGAGGAGATGGATACATAAGTCTTAATTTATACTAACGATAATGTTTTGAGTACAGTACAGGTAGTTACAACAAAAAAATGAGGAAAAATACCAAAAATCACCATCTTGAGAAGCGTAGAGTATAGATACGTCTTTGAGAACTTGAGCAATGGAACGACAGAGCCGTGATGATGATAATGGTACTATATTTGACCTCGGAATCGGTTTATTAGTATTGTAATCACGTCAAGAAATGGGTGTATACGTAACGAAAACGTGATGGGTGCATAACTTTTGATATTAAGGATTTGAAGCGGTGAAATTTGCACAGGATGGTTTATCAACGCACCCTGAAATAATGACACGAAAAATTCCGACTTCCCGACGTCTCGATTGCTTCTTTGATGTCGTACAAAATTCACTTACGCGACTAGGGTTTTTAGGTAGAATTGAGGAGGTCAGAATTGGTTTGGAGGTTGTGGAGAGTGTTTGAATCGGTCTCGAAAAGTGATTAAAATCCCCACCAATTTCTTCCAGTCATTCTATTGCTCTCATTGTGTTCTTGTTCGGGTTCTGAAAAATTTAGGCAAAATTAAAAAAAAATATAAAAAAAGCAAATAGGGATCCAACGCGGCCGGAAATACCCCCAGCTATCTAGAAAAGGTCTACGTGGCCTGAAACAAATGCCAAAAATCACGTCATCAAGTCCCCGACTTTGTCAAACCGTCGAATGCCTCCCTGTATTATACATATATGCGCGTCGATGCATCTAATAAGGCGTACAAGTGCGTTCTAGTGCGCCTGAAACGGGATGTGGGTCTTTGGCAAGTTGATGGAGAAGCTAACAACTGGCTAATTAAAGCTTGGAGCAATGTTTCAGACTTGTTTGTACGATTCACAACAAGTACAAACTGCTGGGGGTGGGTTTCCTTGTTCATTTTTTTACCCATGGATTTGGGGGATCCAGACTGCTCCATAGGTGGAAGATATACTGGTGTTTAGCCAGTCTAGACGGACTCAGGGGACTGCAAAAGATGATAATTACTTAGTTTTTGGTTCACAATACTACTTTCAGAGTGTCGTCAAACTGTGACTCAGTCGGAACCTCTCCTACATGTGTTTCATGACCATTCAACTGGCGCAAAAAGGGATATTAAATACACCACAAGAAGCTCAATTCACAGCATGACTTTGAGATGTTCCAAAACCAGTTTGTACCGTGTCCAAAAGTGCATTCCAATCACTCCACCATTTACATCCCTGGACGAAGAGAGCTAAGGAAAACAAGGGTCTGATACACAAGTATGATTTGTTTTAGAGTCGTCAAGGTAAATTTAGGAATGGAGATTTATCAATACTGTAGATGCAACGATGCTACACTTGTACTTTTGCTTGTATGCGAATGTCTGGTTTTCCCTGGAGGAGTTGCGGATGATAGACGAGGGAAGAAGAGGTCAAAAGCTATCTGAATGATTGAAGTGTCTTTATAGAGCTCCATATCTGATTTCGGCTCCAAATCCAGCACCTCTAGTGTCTACTTCACCTTCAACAGACTCCTCTTGTCCTTGATTAGTCAGCACGAGATTACAAGGGAGGCGGAGCAAGAGGTTGGAATTGAGCAAAAGACGGCTTATATGAGTTGATTAATCATTTCATCGTTTTTGATTGGTGAAGGTGTTTCCAGTTCGGTGAAGATATTGGTTCTGATTCTGGTTCTGGAGTTGGTATTATCTGTGGAAGTCAGGGAGAGAAAAAAAAGTACCCGAAAACAAAAAAAGAGAGTCAATCTGTTGACTTTGGGCCTTAGATTATTGTTGAAATCAGCCTTACTCAATCAACCGTGGACCGTTGTCCAGTTCAAACAGTGACTCAAGTGCTCTGAAACATCTTATCGTGTGACTCAAGTGCCCTGGGGAGTTCCCTTTTGTTCAAATAGCACATGAACTACTTCATGTTGAGCATCTGGCGCTAATTATCTGTTGTATCACTTTTTGCGCCAGTCTTCAGGGTTCAATTCGTCGTTTCCGGCGCTGTATCGGGGAAACTCGTGGTTTTGGGAAGGGCACATTTCTTTTATGATTTTCTTCATTTGTTTAGCCAAGCATTGTGCATGTTGTGTGGGGAATAAACCCGCCGTTATTATCACTATACGAGGGTTAATAGGCAGGGTTGTAGATTTTATCATCTACCCCGGTTCATTTATTTACTGTATTTATATATATATATATATATTTTTCCGGACAAAATTTTGATATCATGCATAATCGCAGACAGCGAAAAAACACCGACGGATATGCGGAATTGCCACAGAAAGGAACGTTTCTTGATACACAAACACAAACAGAAATTCGGAAACAGATATATATATATATACTCCAACACAGACTCTGACTGGTATTCGACTCTTTACGACACAGACGCGGAATCGGCGGAATTTGGCACAGAGGAGGAAACGGTGAGCGGCACATACAGATACAATGACACAGAGATGGGGACTCGAAACAGTGAGTACAGTGAGTGACACAGACACAATGGCAGAGTGACAGATGTAAACGCAGCAACAACAGGATCATGTATGGCGAAAACGTCTAACGACAACTATTGTGGTAACACACACCACCAGCCACGTAAGGTGGCACAGTTGTGGGTGAGGATGATCATGTCTCTAAATGCGGCTGGAATTGGAGCGAGAGAATCGTTTAGTTGGTTTTTGAGACCTGTCACTAGATGTATTACGGCAGAATGGTGGTACCAACCAGCCAATGTCTAACAGGGCAGAATTGACCAGTCAGTGTCAAGACTCGTGAGAAAGAGTCGATAATCTTTGTGACCTTCAGTATTCCCAGCAAACATTGTTCCCGATCTCAACAGCCAACAGCTCGCAGCAGATTTGTGCTCTCACCTGTTTGTTCTCAGCAGAAGCCACGTTTCCCGACCTCAACTTCTGAAAAACTGACCTGGAACTCCAGGAAGCAGTGGTATACCGTTATTTTACAGCTATTTGGGGTATCATTGTAGCCATTGGGCAGTCAATGTGTCTTCAAGTATCTTTTGGTTTTGGGTGAACTCTCTCTGGTCTAGTTGTGGTTTATCTCTGGTCTACTCATGGACTATCTATAGACTCACCAGTTGGGCTCCTTCCCGCGAACAACCCACTTCATCGGGTAGCGTGCCTGCAAATCTAGTGCTCTTACCCGTCACATTTGTAAGACTGCCGGTGAGACACGGATATCTCGGTAACACGGGTCGGAGCAGCCACTTGCACGGATCGAGGCAGCCATATCTTCTGGATGGTCTCTGGTTCCCTTCTCTTCGCAGCACGTGTGTTCTTCAAGTCTCACCACCCTTCTTCACTGTGGTTCTCCACCTTCCTTGCTAGTGCGGCGGTAGGTTTAGTCTGGCTGCGCCTTCGTTCTCGTCCATTAGCGTATTTAATATTCAATGACAATGCTCGTATGTCATAGAACAATAGCTGTTATTTCCCGGGTCTTGGGCGAGACGTGCATATGGCGTGATGGGGTGATTGATCGACATTTTGGCGATGTCTGCGGAGTCTTTCTCGGGGCTCACGTGTTTCTCTTGCGAACTGGTTAAGCGAGGAGCGGACTTCGGGCACTCTCCAATGGCCGAACACTACTGCAAGATACGCCGGCTTTTTCCATTAACCCCGTCGTCAGGGATAAGTGGTCCAAGGCATTCGTGTTCTTTTTCGCTTCATTTTTTCGCTTCATTTTTTCGGTTTAAAATGGACTGCTAGATGGCTCTAAAATTCTGTGCTTCATTGGACTCGGAAACTACTTCCCTTTCGGGTGGCACTATGGGTGACGGGCATTGTTGAATGTTGTCGATGAGAGTATCGGTTTGGGGTTGGAGTTTCTTGCAACTACTTCAAAGTCGCTTGGAGACACTTGAGTTATTTGAAACTACTTCGGAGTTACTTGGAACTACTTCGGAGTCACTTGGAGACACTGGGAGTTACTTGGAACTACTTAGGAGTCACTTGGAACTACTTTGGAGTCACTCGGAGACACTTGGATGATAAGAAAACCGATATCAGTTGGATCTGAGACTGGGCTAAGGCATCCTGCTTCTTCTTATCAGCACACTACCTTGGGTTCCGATTTAGACTTGTTTAAACCTCGAGAAGCCTAGTCGTTTTCAGAATGACTATTTCTGGGTCTGTTTCCGCTTGGTACCTGTTGAGTCTCCACTTGGCCGCCCAACCAGCATGCATTACTAGTGCTACAATGGATCCAAGAGCCGGCAGAAGGTCGCTCTAACCCATTGTTTTGATATAGTGCACTTTCTGGACCTCGGCTATTTTGAAGAGGCAAATTCAGCCCGTGTATTCCTGATGACGCCATTTGAGCGACTCCGAAATGTGCCACGGCGACAGAATTTCAAACACAGGTTTTGAGGATGAGTATCTGACGCCATCCATACCCTTTGACGAAGACTTATGCATGCTCATCGCAGTGATCCAGGGGATACGATTGCAGATGAGCAATATTTTTGAGAAATGAAACCCTGTTTTTTGTTGTATTGTTCGCCCCCGTTTTGTCTTTGGAGTATTTCTGGGTTTCGGAATCCTTCCAAAGAGTCTCTAGAAGGGCACCTAGAGAGCTATAAAATAGCAGCAGCGATCTAATGGTACAAACGGAAGTGGGAAAATTCACCCTCGGACAATTTTACCATAATGGTGAACAACTGAACTGCCGTATGTTCGATGTACTACTCGTGAATCTATTGATCTGAGTTGGGAGAGGTAAAATTATAAAATTATAAAATTATAAAATATATATATATATATATATATATATAGTATTATGTACTGTGCTTCAATACAAGGAGCCGCTCCAGTGGGAATATCTGAATATAAATTCGACAAAATGGTATCCAAATGCCTCTATATCCCATATATCGCCCCTCATATTACATCGCTCCTCTTCTTTCCACCTTTCCAGACTCCTCCGGTTTTTTCTATA